ATGGAAAAACAAAAGACCCAGGATAGCTAAAAGAATCCTATACAATAATAAATAAACAAATCTTATTATAACAAGAATTTATGAGCTAATTTTGTTTAAAAGTGTTTACTGTTCATTTTGAGTTCCTACATAGCCAAAGCAGGGTAAAGTCTTAATATTTGTTCTCACTTTGTGTCTATGCTTTTGTTAGTCTCACTTTTCTTTGCTTACTTCTGCACGTAAGATATTAATTGCTTGATCTGAAAGCACAGGGACACGTGATTGTCTTAATTCTTGAATTCCAGGAACAGTACAGTCTAGCAAGATCAGCCCCCAAGTGAGGCTATTTCTCCATTCCGGTGAGGTTGCAGATTGGAGCAGAAGTCACCATGTCCTGAGGGGCAGTTTATTTCCTGCAAGCAATAGGGACTTCTTGAATCATTTTGTGGAACCAGACAGTGACCGAGCAAACAACATTCTAAGAATGTTTAATCACATACACATTTTATCTTCTGTTTTAGAGTTTCAGTTACACTGTGAACTAAAATGAATTTGGCCTACTTGACAGCTTTAATTTATATGATCTTGTCTTAGTTACTGTTATTGCTGTGAAGAGACATCATGACCAAGGCAACTGTTATAAAAAGAAACCATTTAATTGGGGCTTGCTTACAGTTTCAGAGGGTTAGTACATGATCATCATGGCGGGAAGCAGACAGGCATGGGACTGGAGCAGTAGATGAGAGCTTTCCATCCTGATTCACAGGTGGCAGAGGGGGCGGCAGTGCAGAGACAGACAGACAGAGACAGACAGACAGACAGACACTGGGTCTGGCCTGGGCTTTTGAAGACTCAGTGACACCTTCCCAACAAAGCCACACCCCCTACTCCTTCCCAAACAGTTCCACTAACTGGTGACTAAGCATTCAAATATACGAGCCTATGGGGGCCAGTCTCATTCATAAACCAAATGGATGCTATGTAAACATTATTATTATTATTATTCGTTTTTCAAGATAGGGTTTCTCTGTGTAGCTTTTCACCTTTCCTGGAACTCACTTTGTAGGCCAGGTGAGCCTCGAACTCACAGAGATCTGCCTGCCTCTGCCTCCTGAGTGCTGGGATTAAAGGCGTGCACCACCACCACCTGGCTGCAACCAGTATTTTAAAAGCATAAACAGAGGCTGGGGAAATGGCTCAATGTTCAGAATGCCTCCTGCCCTTGTGGAGGACTCAAGTTCAATTCCTATAACCAACACAGCACCTCGCAATCACCAGTAACTCCAGTCCTCGGGGATCTGACACCCTCTTTCTGGCCTGCATGAGCACTAGTAGAAACACACGTGGTATATATGCAGGAATACAGGCAAAACACTCATAAAATAACAAAATAGATCTAAAAAATAGATTATTGTGATATGTATGAGTGTCTTGCCTGCATGCATGTATGTACACCATCTGTGTTTCTCATGACCATGGAGGCCAGAAGAGGACATCAAATCCCCTGGGACTAGAATTGCAGACAGTTGTGAGCTGCCTGTAGGTGCTAGGAATTGAACCCAGGTCCTTGGCAAGAGCAACAGGTGCTCTTAATTGGTGATCTATCTCTTCAGCTCCAATAAATAAATTAAAAGAGAGAGACTCTTCAGCTCCAATAAATAAATTAAAAGAGAGAGACACCTAGAAACCAATGCCAATGCCCATTTCTTTTTTTTCTTCTTGAGATACGGTCTCTCTATGTAGCCCTGGCTGTCCTGGAACTTACTCTGTAGCCCAGGCTGGCCTTGAACTCACAGAGATCCACCTGACCCTGCCTCCCGAGTGCTGGGATTAAAGGTGCACGCCACCACGCCCACCCTCAGTGCCTATTTCTGACACAGCAAAATGTGCACTGATGATCCAGTGTTGGCTCAGCGCAAGTCCAACTGGTACTCAGTAAAACAGCAAACCATGACTAAGCACAAAGAAAAAAAATAAACTAGGCACAGTGGCACACACCTTTAATCCCCGCACTCGGGAGGCAGAGGCAGCTTGGTCTACAGAGCCAGTTCTAGGACATCCAGGGCTACACAGGGAAAACCTGTCTTGAAAAACCTAAAAAAATAAATAAGGCCAAACATATCTCAGCCAAGGCAAACCATGACTCAACAAAAAGCACACCATGACTTGATAAAAAAAAATCAAGCCATGACTCCGCTAAAAACAAAATCAAACCATGACTCAGTAAAAATAGCCAAACATAATTCAGTAAAGCTCCAAATTGAGACTCAGCAAAATCACAAAGACTCCGTTGAATCGGCAACCATAGCTGCACACTGGCCATTTTAGGGCTATGGGGTGAGGATCAGGGTTGGGGTCAGGGTTAGGAGTAGGGTAAGGTATTTGCCTAGCATGCATGAAGCCCTAGGTTCAATCCCCAGTACTGCAAAAAGTATATATATATATATATATATATATATATATATATATATATATATATATATATATATATATATATATATATATATATATATATATATATATATATATATACATACATAGATACATAAAATAGGAGCGGGTCATTTCTAGGGCTCCCCCGTCACAACATGAACTCACAGCTATCATCAACCCATTGGGCATGTAGGCTGAGCCCCCTTCAGGATGGACCAGAAAAACAAGGTCCTGGGGATGCTGAGACCACACCCAGCCCAGCAGGTGAGCTGTGACTGCACTGTGACTGGCCCTCCTTGTCTTAGAATGAGTCCGATGTCTTCAGCTGGGTGATCCGCAGAGAGTTCCAGGAGCTGCATCACCTGGTGGATGAAGAGAAAGCCCGCTGCCTGGAGGGGGTAGAGGGTCACACACGTGGCCTGGTGGCCTCCCTGGACATGCAGCTGGAGCAAGCCCAGGGTACTCAGGAGCGACTGACCCAGGCTGAGCAGGTGCTGGAGCAGTTCGGTAATGAGAGTCACCATGAGTTCATCCGGGTGAGTGGCCAAGAGTGTGGTCCCCAGCCCTCTCCTTAACGATGCAGTTTCGACACAGCAGTAATCCCATCCTTCTCTTTCTTCCAGAAGTTCCACACCATAGCCTCCAGGTAACAACCCCAACAGAAGCTGCTGGGACAGAGGTCAGCCAGTGTCCAGTGTCTGCTGGCACAGGCGTCACATCCCCATGGTCCCTCCATGAGGTCTAACTCTAAGCTGCTCCCAACGTGTGGCTCTGCCCAAGGAAAAGAACGGAAGTCAAGTGCCTGGCATCAGGGTTCTCACAGACTAGTCATGTAGAGGAAAAACTGGTGCATCCCTGTGGTAACTATGGCAACAGATACTGCCTCAAGCTATAGTGGAGGAGGTGATGGCCAGGGACCGGCAGAGGCATATAGGGGTGACAGCTGAGAAGGCTGTGGTGTGCAGGCAGGCAGAGTGGGAGCCATCTCGAGAAATGCGGGTAAGGTGGTATGCAGACCACAGAGTGCAATAAAGTTCAGTGTTGCTGTGGAGTCAACTGTTATGTGTGAGGAAGTGGAGAGGGAGATGTACCAGGCAGGCAAAGCCAGAATGAGTGCCCTTGAGGTGTGCTCTTTGGACCCTGGGAAGGGAGTGAGTTCATGTTAGTGCTGGAAAACTCAACAGTTTCTGAACCTTCCTCAGACCCTGCGGGCGTAGAGCTCCTTGTTTTCTCTCTTTTTAAATTCTTGTTTTATGTGTATGGGTGTTCTGCATGTATGTACGTCTGTGTGAAGTGTCCACAAATGCCGTAAGAGAGCATTGGCTTCCCCAGAACTGGAGTTACACAGCTGTAAGCTGCCATGTAGGTGCTAGGAATCGAACCTGGGTCCTCTCAGAGTAGCCAGTGCTCTTAACTGAGACATCTCTCCAGCCTCTCCTAGTTTTCTTTATGTGTGTATTGTTCATGCACATTTATAGGTGTGGAGGCCAGAGGACAGCCCTGGCTGTTGTTTTCAGATACCATCTACCTTGTTTTTTTGTTTTTGATTTTGTCTTTTGAGACAGGGTCTCTCACTGGCCTGGGGCTCACCAAGTAGGCCAGGCTGGCCAGCCAGAGAGTCTCAGGGATTTGTCTGTCTTCGCCTTCCCAGCATTTACCACCATGCTTGGCTTTTTCAGATTGATTCTTTTATTTTATGTGATGAGTGTTTTGTCTGCATGTCTGTCTGTGCGCCCATTGTGTGTTTGGTGCCTGAAGAGGTCAGAAGAGGGAGTTGGATCCCTTGGAACTAGAGTTGCAGACAGTTGTCATCTGCCATGTGGGTGCTGGGGACCGAACCCAGGTCTTTTGCAAGAGCGACAAGTGTTTTAACCAGTGAGCCATCTCTCTAGGCACCGTGCCGGGCTCTTTCAGGTGGATTCTGGGAACTGAACTCAGGCAGGTCTTCATTCTTGCTAGGCAAGCAATCTACCTGTTGAGCTATCTCCCAGCCTGCCCTCCTTGTTGTCTGTGGTTTCCTTTATTCCTTGGGGCCATGTGCCTAGAAGGCACTTATGGAAATGAACAGACGGACAATTTGCCAAGCTCAGCTGGAAGCAGAATCCTCCCCAGCTACAGTGAGCAATCAAGTCACTTGATGTAGAGGGTCTTTGGAGGCAGTGCCTGTCAGCAACGCCTGCCTGGAGGGCTGGCTAAAACATGATACAACTTCACCAGGGTGATTGGTTTCTGATAAGCAAGGGTCTGCATCTCTAACAATTCCCAGGAAAGTTAGACTCCTGTTCCTCAGACTCGCGCGTGAGCGCTCTGTCAACCAACGACTGTTGTATTAGTAGCCTTGTTTTGCTGAGACCAAATGACGTAAGGGAGGTAATGTTTATTTCAGTCCATCACAGCCAGGAAGGTGCGTGGGAGCGTGGACTTGGTCACATGGTGGCAGATAGGGAGCTGAGAGATAAGGCTGAAGCCAGAGGTGGGGGTGACCTTCAAAGACCTGCTACAGTGACCCGTTTGCACCAGCCAGGCCCCACCTCTTTCTGATAGTACTACCACCTGGGAACCAGCTTCGCGGCATGAGCCTGTGGAGGACACTTCCAAGACCATCCGTAAGAGCAGCCATGCAGCATCTCACGCTGTGTCCAGAGTGGCTTGGTTCTGGAAACCTGCCTGGGCAGCGAGGGGATGCAGAAAGAGCAAGTCCACAGACACACAGGAAGGCTGGTGTCAGGGGGGACAAGCACTCTGAGGTGATGGCATCCACTACGGAGCAACCTGGAACCTGGGCATGTTTATTAGACACAGCACGGGGGTGGTGGTCGGGGTTACACACGGTTGGTAGGCGGTGTCTACTGTAGGTCCGCAGTCTCAAACCATTAACATCTAGGAGGGGGGAGCTGCAGGCTTTGCACACACTGGCCAATCTTTGGTGAACACTTGGACTTTTACACACTGGCAACATTTGTCCTGGGACAAGAGGAAGGCTTTGCCATCCCATGGGTCTGAGGCATCGAGGTCCCCGACCTGGCCATGCCCATGTCAACCATAATAGTCACTCAAGACTTCATCTGTACTTGGTGCATTCACTCAGGGCTTCCTCGGCTCCCCACAATCCCAATCCTAGGCAGCAGGCGCGTTCCTAGGAAGGAGGTGTGAGGAGAGGCATGGTGGTATCATGAATGTGAGGCCTGAGTGGTGAATTTGCCTCTGTGGACTCCCACATGGGAAGGAGGGTGGGAGACAGCCTTCATGGAGCTCCCCACCATTGAAACTCATGCACACAGGGCAGAGGTCCAGCAGGCCCGGCCTTTGGAAGGCGCGTTCAGCCCGATATCCTTCAAGCCAGGTCTCCACCAGGCCGACATCAAACTGACGGTGTGGAAGAGACTCTTCCGGAAAGTTCTGCCAGGTGAGGCTTCAAATCGTCACCCTTTCAGTTCATTGATGGCACCAAGAGGCACACAGAGAACTTACAGGGCACCTGTATGGGGCGGCGAGGCGAGTGTGGGAACGGCTGTGTAAGCACACGCACTTGCGGAAGCCAGACCGGCGCACACACCTCTGCCGGAGCAGAACTCTTCCACGCTGGCCATGTCTGATGTGCTTCAGGCATCATCCATCCGCTCACCCATCTCATCCACTTCCCAACCTATCCCATCCATCCCTTCGTCTATCTACTCCATCCACACAGCCCTGTGCCCGCCCCTTCCAGGTCCTGGGGGGACACAGAGTCAGCACAGCTGTTCCCCTACTCAAGGACTCGGGCTGGCCATCCCCTCCTGGGCAGGGTCTGCAGCTTCTCTGAACCAACCCCCCGGGGTCTCTTTCTCTTCCAGCTCCAGAATCTCTCAAGCTGGATCCAGCTACTGCCCACCCTCTCCTGGAACTCTCCAAAGGCAACACAGTGGTACAGTGTGGCCTCCTCGCCCAGAGACGGGCCAGCCAGCCTGAGCGCTTCGACTACAGCACCTGTGTCCTGGCCAGCAAGGGCTTCTCGTGGGGTCGCCACTACTGGGAGGTGGTGGTGGGTAGCAAGAGCGACTGGCGCCTGGGAGTCATCAAGGGCACAGCCAGCCGCAAGGGCAAGCTGAGCAAGTCCCCAGAGCATGGCGTATGGCTGATAGGCCTGAAAGAGGGCCGCGTGTATGAGGCTTTTGGCTGCCCAAGGCTGCCGCTGCCTGTGGCCGGCCATCCCCATCGCATAGGCGTCTACTTACACTATGAGCACGGGGAACTCACTTTCTTCGACGCCGACCGCCCCGATGACCTGCGGATACTCTACACCTTCCAGGCTGACTTCCAGGGCAAGCTGTACCCCATCCTGGACACGTGCTGGCATGAGAGGGGCAGTAACTCACTGCCCATGGTACTGCCCCCACCCAGTGGGCCTGGACACCTCACACCCGTACAGCTATAGGCTGCCCGGGCGCGGTCTGCCCGTTGGCCCATCCTGCTAGACACAGGAATCTGAGGGGTTCTGCTGGTCTTAAAAGACAGTTTGGACTGCTTGAGAAGTTTCTTCACACCTGCACATCCCTGGAACATTTCTAGAAGGGAATATAGGCCCCTCCCCACCACCTAGGGGTATGCGTATTACCTTCCACCTTTCCAGGTCCTGTATCCACTCAACCTGAGCAACCCTGTCCCTCCCAACTCTTCCAGCAGAGGATAGAAACAGTCCCACACATACTTAATTCTTATCATTGGACCCTTCAAACACCTATTAAAAACAATAAATTTGACATTTTTCTCATTAATTATTACTGTTACTTTGGCACCAACATGTAAGGTATTTTGACCCCAATATTAGGTTTCTCCCCCAACGCAGTAATCTAGATCAAGCCGAATTAAAAAGACTAGGTTCATTGGGCAAAGCACTCCCAGGTGACCTTTCTAGCCCTCACAGGTGAGGCTGGGGACAGGAGCAGGAGAAATCACATGACTGGGCTAGAGGAGGGGGCTTAAATACCCTGTAGGCGTGGTCCTGAGCAGCTTACAGCTTTGGGGAAGGAGCCTGGATTTCTGGCAGTCTGGCAATCTTTCTGAGAGGGCAATGTTTGGAATGGGGCCAAGCTGGAGATTCCAGCCGAATAATTACTACTATCTTTAGTATTTTAGTTTTAGTTGGGTGTATGTTTGGGGATGCTGTGCCCATAGAGGTCAGAAGAAGTTACAGGATCCCTTGGAGCTGGAGTTACAAAGGGTTGTGAGCGCCTAACAGGTTCTGGGAACAGCATGTGCTCTTAACGGCTGTACATCTCTCTTAGCGCCAGCTACCACTATTATTTTGAGACAGTCTCATGTAGACCAGGCTGGCCTGAACTGGCTAGCCAAAGATTACCTTGAACTCTTGATCCTCCTACCTAAGTGCCGGGGTACGGGGAGTGTGCCATTATGCCTGGCTCACTCAGTGGAGGGACTGGAACTAAGGGCTTTCTGCCTCTTGGCAAGCACTCTTCTGAGTTACATCACCATCCCTCCTCCTCCTCCTCCTCCTCCTCCTCCTCACCAATGCTGAGGATGGATTCCAGAGATCTGCACATGCTAGGCAAGTGCTCTACTTCCAGCAGCAATCTCTGCCCCATTAAAAAACACAGTTAATAGTCTAGTCTAGGTTTTGCAGTGCTGAGGATGGAATCCCAGAGCCCCAAATTCACTAGGTGGGTGCTCACACCAAACCACATGTGGATTTAAGGCGGGTAATCTACTTCTGAGCCACACCCCCAACCCCTCAACCGGGGGATTCTAGGCAGGTGTTGTACCACCGAACCACGCCCTTAGTCCCTGACTGGGGGATTCTAGGCAAATACTTTACCACTGAGCAATACTTCCAGACTCTCAATAGAGGCGTCGAGGCTGTGCTTTATGACTGAGTCTTTTATCTTATCATTGGAGGAGGCTGAGGCTGGACGGCGAGTCTGGGGTACATTTTGTGTCTCAGAGTAAGTCACGGTCTTAAAAAACTATCAAGTAGGCCGGTGGTGGTGGCGTACACCTTTAATGCCAGCACTCAGGAGGCAGAGCCAGGCAGATCTCTGTGAGTTCGAGGCCAGCCTGGGCTACAGAGCGAGATCCAGAACAGGCACCAAAACTACACAGAGAAGCCCTGTCTCGGAAAAACAAAAACAAACACAAAAACAAAAACAAAAAAACAAACCCAAACAAAAAACCTATCAAGTAGCTACGGAATTAGGTAAAATTACTTCCCCCCCTTTTTCGGTCTTTTGAGACAGGGTCTCACTATGTAGCCCTGGCTGGCCTCGAACTCCCGACTACCTCTGTCTCCCGAGCGCTGGGATTAAAGGCGTGAGCCACCACGCCCGGCTACAAAATTAAACTTTCAGACGCTGAGAACGGGAAGCAGCTACCTTCTCGGGAGTCTAAGGACCGCGCCTTTTGACGCCGGAAACGCCGGTGCAGGATGTTGCCGCGGCCGCAAAGCCGGGGGCCGAGCTTTGCGACAGTGTCGTAAAGACCGTGCCGGAGCGGCAGCATGGGGCTGTACGCGGCGGCGGCGGCCGTGCTGGCGGGCGTGGAAAGCCGCCAGGGCTCCCTCAAGGGGCTGGTGTATTCCAGCAGCTTCCAGGTAGTGGGGCCGGGTGCCGGGAGGAAGGGTTGGGGAGCGGGGCCTGGCGGCGCGGGCGGGCGGGCGGGCGTGGGGGGCGTGCGGGGCCAGGCCCGCGCGGGGTGCACAGCGTGTCTCCCCCGGGCCCGCAGAACGTGAAGCAGCTGTACGCGCTGGTGTGCGAGACGCAGCGCTACTCGGCCGTGCTGGACGCCGTGATCGCCAGCGCCGGGCTCCTCCGCGCCGAGAAGAAGCTGCGGCCGCACCTGGCCAAGGTGAGCGGCGGCGGCCGGGGCCCGTCACCCGCGCCTAGTTCTGCCCCTCTTTCCGGGACCCCAGTTGAGCTGGAACGGATGTTGACTTCACTTAGAGCATTGCAGAAAGGGTTAACCAGGACAGAGGCCCCAACTAGCCGTGTGGCAGAGGCTACCTGCCGGGAAGGGTGGTGATGGAAAGGAAGGTTGGGGGTCCACAGTTCTGCTCAACAGGTGGCTACCTGCGGGCAAGCTACAGGCATGGGAGGCAGGACACCGGGTTTCAATACCGAATCTGCTTTCCGTCTGTCTGCCTGCCTTTTTTGTGACGCTGGAGATTGAACCCAGAGCCTCCAGCATGCCAGGGAAGAGTTCTGCCACTGAGCCACGCCCCCAAACCCCGCAGTGGAGAAGTCTAGTTCTATCCCTGAGGAGGTGCTCTACCACTAAGCCACACCCCAGTCCCTCACTGGGGGATTCTAGGCAGGTGCTCTACCACTGAGTCACACCCAGCCCCTCACTGGGGGATTCTAGGCAGGTGCTCTACCTCTGAGCCACACCCTAGCCCCTCACTGGGGGATTCTAGGCAGGGGCTCTACCACTGAGCCACACCCCAGCCCCTCACTGGGGGATTCTAGGCAGG